GGCAACCAATACTGATCTAGGTTGCCATTTGGGTTTTTAAAAAAGTGAATGACAGATTACCCAATCTCAGAGACTATTTTTAGAAAAGGAATATTTTTTTTTTTAAATGGAAAATGTGGAGCACAGCTGAAGAATCGTTAAGCTTAAAGGCAAGTAGTTTACGCAAACACAGAATTGCAGGAGACTTTTACATGAATGTTGCAACTAAACAGCCAGATATAACCAACAAAATAGGTTCGGACAACAATCAGGGAAAACTGTTATTCAGGACTCATCACAGCACACATACCTGAAAAGTGATTGGTGTATGTTTAAAAAAAAACAAACAACTGTTTTCAACACCCTTGAGCAAAATGACATTGATAAATATATTCAAATGTTGCACTCAGTTGGAAAGACTACTAAATTCAACAGGCCAAACAAGTTTTTAAAAGTTCCGTGATACAGTTTAAGTGGTTTGAGATTTTTAAGTAAATGAATTATTTAAAGAGTGGAAATCAACGAATGAGAATGAATATGACTACGACGGCTACATTTCTCCATATTACAACTACAAGAATGTTATCAAGTGATTAAAATCTGCTAACAACTCAAGCACATGGTTACTATGGGGAAATGGTGTCAGGAGAGGAGGCAGCCTAGGGACATCAGTGTTTATAAGAGGCCCCGTTGAGAACAAGTAAACAGCAGTGGAGATCATGAATCAACATATGGGAGATGGGTTACCCCCACCCCCCTCACCCACACTTTTTTTTGCCGCGTTTATCTATGCTCAAATTTACAACAAAAAAAACTTCTGATGGATGTGTAGGTCGAATCAAGATCTAGCTATGTGAATTAGTGGGTCATTCAACGTTCATTGTTGGGGAAGCATGTTCAATATTGCGTGTGTGAATCTGAAGAGGAATGTGGCAACTCAATAGTATTTTTAGCACTGGGTCGGGGAAGGGGTCGGAGAAGGGGTCTCCCTGGTCGTGGTGGGATTGGGGGGGGGGACTATGATAAATCGTGTGCACCGAGCAGAGAAGGCGCGTGACGGAGCTTTCTGCCAAAACGAAAAATAATAACAGTAATAAAAGNAAAAAAAAAAAAAAAAAAAAAAAAAAAAAAAAAAGAGAGGAAAAAAAAAAAAAAGAAAAAGAAAAAGAGAGAGAGAGAGAGAGAGAGAGAGAGAGAGAGAGAGAGAGAGAGAGAGAGAGAGAGAGGGGGGATTTAAAAATCCATATTTCGATATTTCACACTTAAGCATCGCGCTGAGCTATTCACGAAGGTTATTGATTTGTTTCTAAATATCGTTAGGGAACCATCCCTGCTCGCGCACTGAACTCAATCTGCCCCATAACGGGGCTGTACACCTCAGCTATCAGTTGTATTATAGCCGTTATGTGATAAGCGGATTGCGCCCTCATCGACCTGCGTGTTTCAAATACGAATGCCTCACATGCCGTGTTGTCGAATGTCACTGGTCATAACTATAGCAATAGGATCACTAGATCACTAGGTAACCATTGAGGTATATTGGTGTGTGTGGCCATCCAGTCACCACTACGGATGCATCCGTCCAAGTAGCATGAATTAAATTCAAAATTGTGGGTTTCGCCCCTCGGCCACACACACACACCGTTTAGTGCCGAGGACGAAGTCGACTGGAATATCGGTGTTCTGTACTATATACTCGCTTTATTTATAGCGCTTAATCAAACCTAGGCACAACTCTTGCGTATTGAGCGTCCTGCTCGGAGAATGGAGGCATTTTGTTGACAAGAACCGTGACCGACCTGTAAGGTTCACTTAGTCCATTCGATACGCATCGACATTTATTCAAAGAAGGGTGGTTGGGGGGGGGGGCGATATTGCGTTGTGAATAGCCTAGAATGAGAGGAATGGAAGAATAGAAGTGTAACAGAAAGAGTAAAGGATAAGAAAAGTAGTAGAATTGATAAAAGCCTTCCCTCAATAAATTTAAACGATAATCTTGAGCTATGGAGCATGTATTTTCCTCCCTTCCAAACATAAGCCAAACATCCAGGTTTTCCTTCCCCGCTAAATCATGCCAACGCACTCGTGTTCCCCTGTGTTGAGAGAGAAGGAGCAGAGATGCAGGCAGTTACCAGACGTATTATATCACTGTCAGGCCTCAAATCAAGCGTCATAATACTATCTTCTTATAACGTGTTTTGATTTTATATGTATAACCCCAGGTTGGTTATTTTTTTTATTTTTTATTTTTTTTTTCAACCTGGCTTGGGCTAGGGCTAGGGCAAAAAAAAAAAAAAAATACGGAGGGAAGGGGAAACTAAGGAAAGAATACGAGAAGGATAAGTTGTCAGGTAAAGGCTACAATCCGATAGCAGACAGCTGAAACAGATTTTTGCCCCTTGGGTTTGTCAGTGGTGCAACAAAATTTAACGTTTTCAAGCTGTGTTGGAGGGAACGGGCAAGAATGTGTGTTTGGGTATGTTTGTGTGGGTTAGACGTAAATGAACAACGGAAGGCTTGCTGAGACGGAGTAAAGGTAACAGAAGGAAGAAATGGACGGGGGAGGGAGAGAAAGAAAGAAAGAAAGAAGGAAAGAAAGAAGGAAAGAAAGAAAGAAAGAAAGAAAGAAAGAAAGAAAGAAAGAAAGAAAGAAAGAAAGAAAGAAAGAAAGAAAGAAAGAAAGAAAGAAAGAAAGAAAGAAAGAAAGAAAGAAATAGAGAGGGTGGCAGACTAAACATGTATCTGTATTGGAAGAGAAAGACTGAGAAAGAGAGAGAGAGAGAGCAAGAGAGAGGAGATGTTAGGCCAGAAAAAAAAGTAAAAAAGTATTTACAAACAGTGAAGCAAGTCAACATTGTTTAGTAATAGAAAAATAATGGAGGGGGGGGGGGGAACGAAAAGCATTCCAGGCACTGATTCTCTCTTCAACCCCCTCTGACAGTTGGGGGATTTACGATTGCTGGCTTCGGCAGTCCTAAGTACAGGGCAG